CGAGTGTACAGTATTAGTACCGATTTCCCACAGCTGTCTTAGACAACATGGCTGGGTGCGATTTGAGGTGGTAAATGGAACAGAAAATGGATTTCTTTGGCTGGAGGATATATTTAATGCTACTGTATTGTTCAGAATTGTTTCAGGAGTTCTGGAGCCGACAGCGTCAGGGGACAGAAAAGAACAGGTGTAGGTGAGGGTGGGTGGGGTGGGACTATGCTGGCTATATTTCTGGCCCCCTCCTTCAGGTGCATGGTCATCTCCCTGGTTGATCAAATGCTTAATTAATTATTAAGTTTAACAGATTAAGAGCAGCCTTGGGAATATCGGGGAGCAGGTGTTCCTAGTATTCCTGGGCCATGGTTCCTGAGGGAAAGAGCGCTCTCCTGTGGCTCTTCTGTTTACTGCAATCCATCCTTTGCCCTGGAGAGGTGGACTTTGTCTAACTAGTAGTAATGGGAAGAATGACCTGGCATGTTTCTCTCAGCTTGGCCTTCTTCCTTTCAGCAGGGAGATGTCTTCAGGGAGCCCAGTTCTCTCTTTGGAGAAACCTTTCCTGGCCCAGTGCTTCCTGTGTCTAGGAGGGCAATTCTGTTGAATTCAGAGGTTCAGTTAGCATCCATTTGGTTTCTACTCTACTCTTCCACCTTGGCCTTTATTTCTATTAAAGACCATATGTATATATTTAACTTTATTTTTTTTATTAGTATATGTTTGCCATGCGTATTGATTATATTCATCATAGGGAATTTGTACGTGTACATAATATGTTTTAATTCTTTTTTCTCATTCCCCTTCCCTCTCCTCCCTTCAATCCTTCTTCCCCTCCTCACTTACATATATCTGTATATATTTTAATTAGTGCATGTTAGTAATATAGAATGGTGAGGTTTGTTTTGGGAAATTGGTACATGCATTTAACATATCTTGATCATTTTCAATCCCATTAACCTCCTTTCCCCTTCTGCTGACCCCCTCTCCCATCTCCAAAAATAAAGACAGTATTTTTTTTTTTTTGAGACAGGGTCTTGCTATATAGTTAGCCCAGGCTGGCCTTGAACTCACTGTGTAGCCCAGGCTGGCCTCAAACATCTGGTGATCTTCTAACCTCAGCTTCCTGAGTGCTGGGATTACAGGTGTGCACCACTATGACCGGCTAAGACCGTACTTTGACCAACATCTGACATTTCTGCTGTTTCTGAATGTCTCTAGAACTTGAAAGAGGAAGAGAGATGTTATTTATTCAGACTTCTTAGAGACTGTAGTGTCACCATCAGCATGATTGTTACTCTGAGTAACACATTCATATTTACATTCATCTGCAAGGTTTTACTTTCGTATGTCAGCATTATCACATAAACTGAGGTTTAGACTGTAAAAGAACACAATGGGTTCACTGTTTTGTGAGTGAAAAGCCAGTAAGTGCACTTAGTAGATAAGGAGTGGAGAGGTGTGTTCTTAGTCACTTTTGTGTCACTAAGACAAAATACCCAACACCTATAAATTAAAGAAGAGATTTATTTTGGCTCACAGTTTTGGCTGGTTTAGTCCATGGTTGGCTGGCTCCAAGGCATAAACAACATGGTGGAAAAAAGCTGTTCACCTCATGGCGGTCAGGAAATAGAGAGGAAGGAAGTAAGGATCAGGATACGCCCTCCCTGGCTGGGTGTGGTGACACACACCTATAATTCCAGCACTCTGGGGGGCTGAAGCCGTAGGATCTCAAGTTTGAGCCCAGTCTGGGAAATTTAGCAATTTATCAAGACCCTGTCTCAAAATAAAAAAATAGAAAGGACTAGGATGTAGCTTAGGGTGAAAGCCTGGGTTCAAACCCCACCTCCAGTATACCCTTACAGGGTACCCCAGTGACCCACCTCTACTTATCGACCTCTACCAAACAGGACATTATGCTTTGCTATCATGAATAGATTAATCCACTGATGGGTATATTGCTTCTATAATCTAATTACCTTCCAAAAGCCCCACTTCTGAACTTAGGAGATTTTTGGTGGACATTTTAGATATAAAGCATGATATTCCAAGCCTGACCCCAAAAGGTTCATGTTCATTTCAGTATGAAAAATACAGTTAGTCTATCTCTAAGAGCTGAAAGTCTTAACACTTCCAGCACTGCCGAAAAGTCCAAGTCTGAAGTCTCTTCTGAAAGTCATGTCACACTCTTAGCTATCTGCTCCTATAAAAACTAAAGTTAAATACTTTCAACATACAGTATCATGGATAAATATTCCTATTCCAAAAGGGAGGAGTAGGGAAGCAGAAGGGAATCAGATCAATGCAAGACTGAAACCCAGGAGGGAAAACATTAAATCCTGCAGCTGCATGTCCAGCATCTTGGCATGTTGTGGTGAGATGTGAACTGTAAAGGGCTTGGGCTGCTCCATCCTATGGCCTGGCCAGTTGCAGCCCACATGGCCTTTCTCTTAGGCTGGCTTTGCTTGGCGCCTGTGATTTTCCTTGGCATCCACATTCCTGACATCTCCAACTTTCTATGGTCTCCACTGCACCTTTGGCTTCACCACTACTCCTGGCTTGTTAGTTATTTTTCAAAGGTTTACTGAGTACTAGATATAGGTTGAAGGCTTAGCACATACTGTTTCATTGAATCTTAGTCATAACTGGCCTTGACAATAGATAACTGGGTCTGAAATAGGTGATATTATTTCATTTTACACATGATGAAGCTGGAGCTCAGAGAGAGAAAATACCTTTCATGGTCATACTGCCAAAAGCAGCTAGTGAATGGTTTAAATTTCTGTTGGCCCATCCATTCAATCATTTTTCAGGTACTCCACTGAGCAGATTGTATTTTCCAGTGTTTTTAGTTGCAAGATACAGAGACCAAGTAGTTGATTTTAGTGTAAGAGAAATTAATTACACAAGTTGTGCATTGCTCATAGAAGTGCTTGGAGAGCTACCTGTGGGTGTTTCACAGAGGGACCCTGGTCAGAGTGGGGCCACCTTTGCTGCTGCAGCCCATACTGTGCCACGGACATCCTGGTTTGCAATGCTTTCCACAGTCCACTGTGGCAGTCCACTCATCCTCCTCCATCTTGGTGGAGCCACACTGTTCCCAGATGCCCTGTGGTCTCGGCCTCTGCTGAATGGAGTATGTTGCAGGCAGCTGCTCCAGGACTGCTGCAGCGGTGGACAAGGTGCTTCCCTGTCTGTATCTCCTGGGAGGCCCTTTCTGCTTCCCAGACTCACACAGCAAGGGGTGTCCTTAGTGTGGTAAATGTTTAAAGGCTGGGTAACCTGGGGAACAACAAATTGTTGCATGTGCATCTGTTCTGTGTGCAACACTGTTAGATATGGTGGAGAATACAGGGGGTCAGACCTAGCACCAAACCTACTGGCCTCAGAGACCTCACAGGCTCACCTTCCAACATGTGCATCGATTTGTTGTTGTTTTTTGTTTGTTTGTTTGTTTGTTTTTTGTTTTTTTGAGACAGGGTCTCGCTATGCAGTTCAGGCTGACCTTGTGCTCACTTTGTAGCCCAGGTTGGTCTCGAACTTGCAACGATCCTCCTGCCTCAGCCTCCTGAGTGCTGGGATTACAGGCATACGCCACCATGCCCAGCACATCGATTTGGAACCATAGTTTGTAAAATTCATTCACTCTGATTTTTCACTGGGTAGCCCAACAGCCATGGAGAGAAGGAATAACTGATATTTTATTTTATTTTAGTGGCGCTGAAGATTGAACTCAGGGCCTTATGCAGGTTAAGCATGTCTTCTACCTCTGAGCCATATCCCCAGCTATTCCTGTTTTACACTGGAGGGAGCCAGGGATGTAATGAGCCTGAGGCTTCACCACTGGCAAGTAGTAGAGGTGAGACTTGGATTTGTCTTCCAAATCCAGGCCTAGTACCAGACTATCCAGAGGTAAGATGTGTGCAAGGATGCTGTACCATATGGTACTGACTCCCTCCTTTTTTCACTCCTGAAATCAGGATGCTTCTTATAATCAGTACAATGTCATAGTTTAATTGACAACTTCTTTATTCCAAGAGGTATATAAAATGAAGGAGAATCTTCAACTGATGAAATCTTGGATTCACTGAAATATAGGCACAATGATAAGGGTTAGAGTGCTTGCTGAGCATTCCTAAGGCCCTGGGTTCAATTCCCAGAAAAAAAAAAACACACACACACACACACAACACACACACCCGTCCATCCATCCATCCATCCATCCATCCATCCATCCATCCACATCCACCCGGTAGAAAGTGACAAAGGATGAAGGAGAAATGAGGCATGAGGGAACCCTTCATGGAGGAATTGTACAGGTCCACCGTTCCCTTCCTGTAATTTTAAACACCAAAAGTCTCTGAAAACTAAGATTCCACCCCCTTTTTCTTTAAGTTTGGTGTCAAAATTCTTTTGACAGTAAAACCTAACTTTAACTGGTGTGAATTAATGTATAATCTTCAGTTATTCCACTTACTCTGAAGACCAATATGTTCAGCTACAGAAATATTAATGTTTGATAATGAAGTATTTTTCTAGGGTGTAGGGGGAGATGGAAAAGTTGTTACCTAGTTTTGAGTCCATGCAGCACATTGCTTCTGTAAAATTCTGTATCTCATAACACACATGGCCCTGAGGCTTGTGGCCCAGGGACTTTAGGTGGCATCTGAGCTGGTGGATGCAATTGAGACCTTTGGAGCTCTAGAAGGGATTTTAGGAAGACGAATCCAGGAAGCTCACACCAGCTGGGATCTAGCGAGAAATCATTGTCTCACTTAAATTTGCCTTGAGGGCAGGGGTGGGGTGGACTTTGGACAAATACAGTGCTCTCCCTGGATTTGTGACTCATACCCAGCCAGAGGGTTGGACTTTCTGAGTTTAGCTTTTTCTGCCTAGTACCAATCTCCTCCTTTTCCCACAAATCACCTGACTTCCCTCAAAACCCTGAAACACACTCTTGGCTGAAAAAGAAGATTAGGCAATCTGTGAAACTCCCCATTTCTTCTCTCCCCCTGAAGCCCTGGATCTCGGGATCTCAGGCCTGGGTGGAAGATGCAGTTCTGATTTCAGAAGCAGAGGGAGCTCCAAGATCAGGCTTGAATTACCCTTCCCTGGAGCATGGTCTCCCAGCCCCCTCTTTGTTTTGATCAGGGAATTTCGGACATGCACACTTGGGTAGGGAATCTTATGCACGGAACCAGGACCGGGAGCTCGGCCGGAGGTTCCTGCAGAGGGAGCGACAAGGCCGACCTGACGCCTCTGGGAGCCACAGCAGCATGACCGCTGGCAGGGGAGAGAGGACTGACTCACTTGCTCCCATCAGCTTCTGAAGGTAACAACCTTAAAACTGAACTGCAGAGCTTTGATGGAGGAAAAAGGAAGGCGGAGAACTTCCCGGAGAAAGGTTTGGGAAAAGATAGAGGGCTGGAAAGAGTAGAACAAGAAAAGGCAGAACACAGACAACCTATTTCTCTCAGGCCGAGCCCACCCACCCTACCCACCATGTATCATTATTTTCAGAGTTAAAAACAATTTTGGGCTGGGCATGGTGGCGCACACCTGTAATCCCAGCACTTGGGAGGCTGAGGCAGGAGCATTGTTGTGAGTTGGAGACCAGCCTGCATACCAAAGTGAGCTCAAGGCCAGCCTAAAGGGCATAGTGAGACCCTGTCTCAAAAAGGCAAAAAAAGCAATTTTGGCAAGACTTTTCTAGGGACTGTCAGGAAATGTCTTTGTAGTAAAGAAACAACCGGCCCTCGGAGATTACTATAGGAAATTTCTTTTCCAATCCCATCTCAACAAGGGCAGCACTTGCTCCCTCAGACCACTTCTCCCAAGGTCCCTGCTCTGCCCTACAGAAAGAAGCTCATTCCCACATCAGTGGTCCTGGGGGTGTCAGCAGAAACACATGCATGATGAGCACGGTGGCCCGAAGTGATGAGGGGACCACTGGGAAGGTGGGGGCCTATGCTAGCTGGGTGGGCAAAGACTCCTCACAACCCATGGAATTGGGGATATTGATCTGCAAGGGCAGGAGAGAGACTGACAGAAGGACCAAGAGTGGGGTGGGAGAACAGAAGAGAAGGAGGCTGGAGAAACGATTTACTCCTTTTGGAGAAAAATTGGGAGAAAGGCAAGAGAAGTGATAGGAGGAGAAGATTTAGTTGTAGTCTAGAAAATCAGTTGAAGTTGGACCAGGGAGGGTGTGAGAGGCCAAGCGTCATATGCTGATGATTAGTGGTCCTGCTCTGTAAAACTGTTTTTCTTAGGGAAGTGACACTGAACCCCAGGTGACCACTCACCACCAAAGCAGGTGCCTTTCACCACTTCAGCTCCAAAGTCCAGAGAAGCAGAGAGGCAGGACTGGTGACATGGGCAAATCACCAGCAATGTGGTGAGTGACCAGGGATCTCCGGAGATGTGCACAGTCCCCGTTCCCTGCAGCTTCTGAGAAGAGGGCTCAGACCGGAAGCCTGGGTTTTCCTTTGTCCTAGGCCTTTTCTTTATTCCTCCTTAAGATTTTCTTCTGTGGCTGGTTGGCTGCACCTTTCTTCTTTCTTTCCTTTCATCTGTGAGAACTGGATGAGGCCCCACGTCCCTGGGTGACGTCCCTCATTGTGGCTTCTCCCTTAGGTGCATGATCCTATGTTCTCTGTGGGCCTGGGCTTATGCAGAGCCTACCCTCCATGGGGAGATCCTGTCCCCTAACTACCCTCAGGCATACCCCAACGAGATAAAGCAAACTTGGGATATTGAGGTTCCGGAAGGGTTTGGAATCCACCTGTACTTCACCCATCTGGACATAGAGCTGTCGGAGAACTGCTTGTACGACGCAGTGCAGGTATACCATGTGGAGGGCCATGGAGGAGGCCGGGCCAGGGTGTGGAGGATGTAGGACTGGGTGCCTCAGGCCTGTGTGACCAGTTAAAGAGCCTTGTGAGAGTCCAGGGTCTCCTAGCTTTGTCCCTCTTTCTGTCATCTCCGTTCCAAATTAAACTTTTTTAGCATCTTTATAACTCTTCCCTTAGATAGTGTCAGGAGGCATTGAAGAAGGGAAACTCTGTGGACGGAGGACCAGCAAGAATCCCAACTCCCCCATCATAGAAGAATTCCACATTCCGAACAATAAACTCCAGGTCACCTTTACATCAGATTTCTCTAACGAAGAGCGTTATACTGGATTTGCTGCTTATTATGTTGCCATTGGTAAGATTCAAAAGATTTGAAGCAGAAAGAATCTTACACAATGCATAGAATGAGGATTCTTTGTATAATTTTACAAAATAATAGCTGGACATGGTGGTGCACACTCAGGAGGCTGAGGCAGGAGGATCACCGAGTTTAAAGCCAGCCTGGAATACAGAGTGAGACTCTGTTTCAAAAAACCAGACTAAAACAAAAAACAAAATATTGACTTGTCCTGGATCCGTCCATGCATCATCTTTGTGAAATGCAAACGTATAATATTTTAGTGGTGATGGTAATGATAATAGTGGATAAGAAATAGTAACTTGTTGAGAACCAGTATGAATTGGGCACTGTTAGCAGTTTTACTAAAGTAATATCTTCACCGCAACACTTCAAGGTAGGTATCCTCATATAAAGATAAGGAAAGTGAGAACTAACAAAGTTAATAATGTAGCAAGAATTGCACATGGAGTATATGGTTCTCAAACCCACTCAATACACAGCATTCAAACCTTCACATTATGGGTGTTTCTGCACCTATCTTCAGGTTGAAATGGAATTAAAAGCACTTCTAAATTATATTTCATATTTGAGAGAAGGACCAACATTGTATAAAGTGATGAATGTGTCCTCATACCCCTGCAGAAGACATTTCCCTTTGGCGCTGAAACTCTAAGTGGGAGAAGTCAGCGGTTTCTCACATCCAGAGCTCCCCATGCCTGTCCAAGGCAGAGCACAGCTCTGGAACCATAGTTCAGGAAAGTGATGTAGAATAATGCAGTTCTGAAATGTGGATGTCTGAAGGCCTTTAAGTGATGAATCTGTCTTGCTTTTTCTTACCCTTGTAGGTTTGAGTTTAACCTCATTTCTCTTTCTGGGTTTTTGGCCTTGAGCTCAATCTTCCTTTTCTCCTTATAGATGTAAACGAGTGCACAGATTTTGCAGATGTCCCTTGTAGTCACTTCTGCAACAACTTCATTGGCGGTTACTTCTGCTCCTGTCCCCCGGAATACTTTCTCCATGATGATATGAGGAATTGTGGAGGTGAGCTGGGCACTAAGAGGATGCACCAAAAGGGAGTGAGCCCTCAGAAAGGGCTTTCCCTATCTTCCAGTTTTGATTAGGCTCCCCCTTCATTTGACTTCCATTCTCAGTTACCCATAACTTGAGAGCAGCACAGGAGGGAAGAAGATAAGCTGTGTTAGTCAGCGCTTTATCGCTGTGAGGAAATGTTTGAGAGGAACAATTTAAAAGGAAGAAGTGTTTAAAAGCTGGGTCTGGTGGTGCATACCTGTAGTCCTAGCACTCGGGAGGCTGAGGCAGGAGGATCCTTGCAAGTTTGAGACCAGCCTAGGGTACAAAGTGAGCTCCAGGCCAGTCTGAACTGCATAGTGAGACCCTGTCTCAAAAAGACAAAAACAAAACAAAACAAAGGGAAGAGGTGTTTATTTTAGCACATGGCTTCAGAGATTTTAGTCCATAGTTGTCTAATGTCTTTGAGTCTGTGGCAAGGCAGAACATCATGGTGGGGGGGTGTATGGTAGAATAAATCTGCTGATGTCATGGTGGCCAGAAGCAGAGACAGAGACAGAGACAGACAGAGAGACTGGAGTTCCACTGTTCACTGAAGAACATGTCCACCATGACCCAACTTCCTTCCACTGAAACCCATCTTCTAAAGGTTTTACCACTTCTCAATAACACCACAGGCCAAGGCTTTAGTATATGGGAATTTAGGAGACATTTAAGATCTAAACCATAATACAAGGGTATAGGATAAAGTTAGTTAATTGGAGAAGAGAGATAGATGCCTCTGAAGAGTCTGCCCAAGGCTATTTGTAACGAAGGAAGTCTTCAACCTAAGCAAAATGATGGGCATCAAACAGGCACTAGATGTCTCTACTGGTAGGAATTGGGTATAGTTGTTCCCTTGAACTGCAGTCAGAGCTGTGTCCTAGCAGAGTCTGACTGAGGGACTATCAGTTTATGGCAGAAGGGATGGTAGAATAGGGCAGGAACTTCTCTGCTTGGCCCTGTATTTGATTCTCCCCTTCTCTCCTTCAGTCAATTGCAGTGGGGATGTATTCACTACACTGACTGGGGAGATTACCAGTCCCAATTATCCCAGTCCATACCCGGAGAACTCAAGGTGTGAATACCAGATTCTGTTGGAGGAGGGGTTCCAGGTGGTGGTGACTGTGAAGAGAGAAGATTTTGATGTGGAACCAGCTGACTCAGAGGGGAACTGCCTTGACAGCTTAGATGTATGTGGTTGATGATTAATTCTTGCCATGACCCCAGCTCACATAGATGATTTCTTCCTCCTCCTTTTCTCCCTTTTCCTGTTCTTTTTTGTTACTGGGGATTGAACTCAGAGTCTTTGCACTGAGCTACATCTAGCCCTTTTTTATTTTTTATTTTGAGGCAGGGTCTTGCTAAGTTGCTAAGTTTCCCAGGTTGGGCTTGACTTTTCAATCTTGCTGCCCCAAAGAAGTAGCATCATGTGTGTGCCACCCATGCCGGTGAGAGATTTCTTCTTGAAGACAAAATTACCTTTCTTCCCACCTCTTATTTTCTTTTTTTCTTATTATTTGCTATTCTATTTATTATTTTCTTTACATTTATCTCCATGCTCCTATTTAACCTCTTTCCTTTTATTATTTCTCTTTTCTGATTTCATCATTTTTGTTTTTTTGCAGTTTGTTACAAGCAATCAACGGTTTGGTCCTTACTGTGGTAATGGTGGATTCCCTGGGCCACTTACTATAGAAACCAAGAGTAATACTGTTGATATCATCTTTCAAACTGACCTATCAGGGCAAAACAAAGGCTGGAAACTTCGTTACCATGGAGCTCGTGAGTAGCCTAGAAGTGCCTCTTTGGTGATATCAAAGTCCCTGGACAATGTAGAATCAAAACAAACAGATTGTTTTTGGTAGAGTCCAGAGACACTTCAGTTCCTCAGGAAGATTGAACCCTGTCAGTGTTGCTAGAAATGCCTTGCTGTCAAGTAACCCTTCAGCTGGACCTGACACTGCAGGCGAGCTGGGGGTAGTGAGTTAGTGAGGCCGTATTATGTTGGAAGGTGAGGCACTGGAACTGAGGACAACTGATGATTTTAGAAAATGTGAGAATGATGGAAAAAGAATAGTCTCTAACTATCTAGTAAAAACTTTTTTTCTTTCCCAATTTCCATCTTTTCCAAGCAATCCCCTGCCCTAAAGAAGTCTCTGCAAATTCAATTTGGGAGCCTGAAAAGGCAACATATGTGTTTAAAGATACGGTGAACATAATCTGTTTGGAAGGATTCGAAATTGTAGAGGTGAAGTATGTTCAGCTTCTCTGCAACTCTGGCCCCGGGTCCGGATTCCCGTACTATCCTATCCTGTTTCTGATGTCCCTGATAGACCAAGGTAGGAACACCTTTGCCATGGGCAGAATGGCTCAAGATCTTTGCCCTTGCAGGTCACAGAGCTCTTTGTATAGCTTGACATCCTTGCTCTGCTTTGAATCTTCTGGGGAAGGGCAGTACACAGTTGTCTTTTAGTCCTAAATCCTGGGTGCTTTGGGTCATTCTGCCAAGATGTTCCTAAGATTTTTTTTCTGTGAGGATTCCTCTTTGATCCAAGGCCAGAGATCAATTCCATTTTTAGTTTTGAATTTTCATATCTCTTTTTATAAATTAATGATGATGTCTATTCTCTAGGGAAGCACTGCCTTAACGTCTTTGTATTCTACTTGTCTGAGCAATGGAAAGTGGAGTATTTCTACAGTGACATGCCAACGTACGTGTCCCATCAATGTGGAACTCTTATTTTTCCTCTCAAAGGCAAAATCTTCACCACAAAATTCAAATGTGGTGGCAGGGTGTGGTGGTGCATGTTTGTAGTCTCAGCACCCAGAAGGCTGAGGGAGGAGGATTGCCTTGAGTTCAAGGCCAGCCTGGGCTACATAGCAAGACCCTTTCCCCCCCCCAAAAAAAGGAAAAAAAATTCAAATGTGATGCTTTGGGGGTGGTGGTACATCCCAGCTACTCCCAAGGCTGAACAGGAGATCTCAAGTTTGAGACCAGGCTGGGCAGATTAGTGAGATTGTAACTAAAAGTACAAGGCTGGGGATGGAGCTCAGTGGTGGAACCCTTGCCTAGCATATGTGAGGCCCTGGGTTTCATCCTTGCTACCCTGTGCCTCAGCTCAAATGCATGCTTTCTTCTTAGGCTTGTGAGAGAGTAGTTGGGTTTGAGAAGGGAAACCAGTCACTGATAATTTTTAGGTCAGCCCTAGGCTGGTCCCAGGTCCATTAGACTAGTAGCTTTCTTCTAAAGGCAGGAACTGTGGAATTAGTAGTTAAGACCCCCAGGTAGGTGTGTTCTGGGCTTTCGCAGGATCCTCCACCAACCACTGAGAACCAGGTTCCTCTCAAGCTTTTAAAGGCTCATCTGCATCGGCAGATCTCAGTGGGCTGGAGGACTGGGTGGGCCATTTGTAGAGGCTGGTGTAGGGAGATCCATCCTGGGGTGCTTATGGACATGAAAAGGGAAGAAGTCAGGATGGAACTGGCCCTGTAGCTCTTCCTGGGAAGAAGTGGCTGTCAGACCATTAGTCTCCTCCCTTCCTTGTAGCTGTGGACTGTGGCGCTCCTGAACCAATTCGAAATGGCAACGTTGAAGAACCAGCAGATACTTTATTTGGTTCTGTTGTTGGCTACACTTGTGAGGAACCATATTACTACATGGAACATGAAGGAAGTGGTAGGTTTCTTCTACGAGGGTCATGAGAGAGAGTGTGAATGTGTTGGAGGGTAAAGACAGGTTTAGAGAGAGTTTGTATAGAAATGAGGGAGACAGAACAGACCTCATCACCCTCTTGGCTTGGTCTAAGGATTTAGCTTTCGTGGGGGATGGGGGATATTCTCAAGGTCATTTGTGAGGAATCTTAGAGGCCAGCTCAGCTCCATAGCTGCAGCAGGAATTTCCTACATCATCCACTTCATGTGGTTATCCAACTCTGGACCACTTCTTTCATGTAAAATGCACAGGGGGGATGTTTCTAGCTGGGGGTTGACATGTTATGATGATTGGCTTTCTTTTTCTTTTTCATTTAATTTTTTTTTTTCTTGTGGTGCTGGGGGTTGAACCCAGGGGCTCATGCATGCTAAGCAAGTCAGTGCTCTACCATTCAGCTACTGCCCAGCTCATGACTGGCTTTCTTGATGTAGAGGCCTTGGTACTGAGTGAGACACAATATGACTTACGATCCTGTCCTGTCCTCTCCCTTCTCCTCTTTTTCTCTTGTTTTCTGTTCCCACTTGAACCTTTCCCAGTCACCCCCCCCCACCCATGGCCCTCTTCCTCTGCTCTGGAGACTGCTCTTTCCCCTCCTTTGGCAGGATAGGGGGCTGAGGGGTTCTTTGAGGCATGATCCCATGATTGTTTTCTAGCTGACCCGATCTGACTGCCTGTTCAAGTCCCAGAGGCGTTTAGGCTATGCCCAGAAGGGGGGATGGAAAGAAGAAGCCGGTGTGGCAGTGAGTGTGACCATGTTCTTTGTGCTCTTGCAGCTGAGTATCAGTGCTCTGGTAACGGGAGCTGGGTGAACAAGGTGCTGGGTACAGAGCTGCCGAAATGTGTTCCAGGTAATCAAGACTTCGGTGTGGGTGGGGACCACAACCACAGGTGCAGGGGTGTGGCGGTCACCATCTAAGAGTAGCTGTAACCCTCTGGGTCAGGGGCTTTATCTGGTCTTCCCAAGTCCCGTTCAGTGAGGTGGTGGTAACAGCAGGATGTTGGCCTGCCAGAGTTGTGGGTGATTCCCTCAACCACCGAGTTGGGTTGACTGGAGGGAAATAGAAAAGTCACCTGCCGGCAGCTGACGGAGTCAGGGCCAGTTAGGTCTGACAACATAGATGTACTTGGTAGATACAGAATGGCTAAAAGCAGGCCTGAAAGTTTAGAGTGAAGAATCATCATTCAAAAAGCTAGATATATTAAAAGTCTGGATGACAACAAGATACAGAGGAATAAATGAAATGAAGGATTGTAGCTGGGTGTAGTGTCACATGCCTGTAATCCTCGCATTTGAGAGGCTGAGGCAGGAAGATCACATGAGTTTGAGGCCAGAATGGCCACATAGTGAGTTCAAAGCCAACCTGAACTACATAGTGAGACCCTGTCTCAAAAAAAAAAGGAATGGAAGGGCCGGGGATATAGCTCACTGGCACAGCACCTACCTGGCAAGCACAAAGGTCTTGAGTTCAATTCCCAGTAACCCCCACCCCCCAAAAAAGGAAGGAAGGAAGGAAGAAGAGAGGAAGGAAGGAAGGAAGGAAGGAAGATAGGAAGGAAGGAGTTGTAGGAGGGTCAGAATTGAGTAGAGGGTGGCATTGGGGCAAAACCTGAATAATAATAATAATGACAGCAATGCCGCTGAGCATTCAGGTGCATTTGCCACTGATGTGCTTGTGACAGTCCTGTGAGGTAGTATTATGCATGAGTGAATTGAAGGTGAGCTCACAGGGTTAGTAAGTGGCAGGGGCACGTTTTGAATCCAGGGAACAAAGGACTTACACTAGCTGACTTCGTCTATAGTTCATCAATGGGGAGTGGCAAAGTGGTCCTACTTGGAACCAGTCTGTGGGAGTGAGAGGTCAAGATCAAACCAGAAAAAAGAAAACCAAACCAGAGAAGCCTCTCTGTGGTTCCTAGGCTGGTGTGGGGTTACTCAGAGGGACTTGTGCACAGCTAGGACTGCAGTAGCAGTGAGAGGAAAGAGTTTCCTCTGGGCCTCAGGAGAAGGTGGAAGCTTGCCCCCTGCACAGTCTGCGAGGAAAGAGGCTGCCAGCCAGATCCCCGGCTCACGTACTGAGCGCGGGCTGACGTGTGCCTGAGAGGGGCTGGAACCAGCTGAGGGGAGCACGGTGCACTAGTCTGCTGGTGGTGTTGGCAAGGGGGACATCCAGGGAAGGTCAGCATACGTCAGATGTGGGGTTGTCTGACTGTGCTGGGAACTCTGTGTTGGGAACCAGGGGTGAATTATTGGAATGGCTTGGAGAATTCTCAGGAGGTGGCATTGTTTCCTATCCCTCCCCTCCTTGTCCTTCTTCCTTCCTAGTCTGTGGAGTCCCCAGCGAGCCCTTTACAATGTCACAGAGGATATTTGGAGGCTACCCTACAAACATTGAGAGTTTCCCCTGGCAAGTCTTCTTCCATTCTGAAAGGGCTGGTGGGGCCCTCATTGACGAGTACTGGGTACTGACAGCAGCCCACGTCGTGGAAAGAAACTACCACCCAACAATGTACACTGGGTTGACCGTGGTGAGGAGCAAAGACCTGAGCAAGGCCCATATGCTCACTGCCGAGCGTGTGTTTATTCACCCTGATTGGCAGCAGGTGGCTGACCCAAGCACACGAACCAATTTTGACAATGACATTGCGCTGGTGCGGCTGAAAGACCCAGTGAAGATGGGGCGGACTGTGTCTCCCATCTGCCTGCCAGGCACCTCTCCCAAATACAGCTTCTCAGTGGGGGACCTGGGCATGATCTCGGGCTGGGGTAAGACAGAGGAAAAAGATTGGGTTTTGCGACTCAGAGGAGCCATACTACCTGTAACTAATTTAGAGATGTGCCAGACGGTAAGAGTGAAAAATCCCAAAATGGACCCCAAGTCATACGTTTTCACTCAGAACATGTTCTGTGCTGGAGGAGCGGGTGTGGACAGCTGTCAGGGAGACAGTGGAGGGGCTTTTGCTATCAAGAGGCTCACTGAAGGGAATTCCAAATTCTACATCTTTGGCCTGGTGTCCTGGGGAATCGAGTGTGGGACCTATGGGATCTACACCAAGGTACAGAACTATGTCGACTGGATAAGAACGACCATGCAGAACAATAACACCCCCCTCCAGGACTGACCACACTTGTCCTCTCCACGGGTGTGGCCAGGCCACTGTGCCCAGGTCCTTGTCACCATCCCATTATTTCACCATGACAGAGGAGACGTGGGATCATGATTAAACAGACACAGTTGTCAGGATGCCTGGCTGGAGGTCATGTTTGGCCACAGAATTGTTAGTGATTCAGGTGTGGTCTGCAGACAGGCTGGGAGGGGCACTCCTGTCTCCTGCTATTCTCCAGCAGTACCTTAAGTTTTTGTTTCTTCTTTACTTGTCTGAAATTCTGTTTGCTTTCTCATTCTCAGTGCCCATTATCTACTTCCAATAAAGCATGTTATAATTCAGTTCTGGCTGCCTGACTTTATTCCACATCAAGAGGACTTCAGAGTAGTGTAGGGGAGTGGAAGGAAATGGAACGTGGGCACCCAGCAACTCAGATTTAATTGTCACAAAAACAGGGAATTCAGCTTTTCTGCTTTCTTCAGTGGAGATTCCTGAATACTGTGCTGTTAGAATTGGCTGGGATTTTTTTGTTTATTTCCTTGTTTGATTGGTTTTGAGACAAGGTCTTGCCCTGCAGTTCAGGCTGGCCTTGAACTCATTATGTAGCCCAGGCTGGCCTCAAGCTCACAATGAACCTCCTGCCTCAATCTCTCAAGTGCTAGGAATAGGGGTGTGCACCACCACATCTGACCTTCTTTTTTTTTTTTTTTTTGTACCAGGAATCGAACTCAGGACCTTATACTTGCCAGGCAGGCACTTGTACCACTGAGCTATATCCCCGACCCCCTGATCTTCTTTTTGAAATGCTGGAGATGGAACCTAGATCTTACACATGCCAGGCAAGCACTCTGCCACACTGAGTGCCTCTCCCTCTCTCCTTCTGCCCCTCCTTTGTGTGCTAGAGATCAAACCCAGGGACCTAGAACTTTTTACCCTGAGGACAAGAGCACTATCTTAGGGTGATCATTGTCCATGAAAAGTTGTTCAGGATTCAGAGGAACTCTGGCCTGTTTGCTGTGACAGTGACTTTTAGGAAGGCAGTTTTTACCAGAAGCCAACAGGAATGTGTTTGGGGCTTATCTTTCACAGACTCTGATCTTTCACAGACCCAGAGGGCTGAATGCAACAGTTGACTTTAGACTGGACAGTAAACAAACACATGGGGGAACTCTTAACAGGAGGGCCCGAAGAATCACAGTGGGTTACAACACAGGTTGATGTCAAGGTACCCAAGTGGGGTAAAGTCATGGCACTACTTTGTACAGTGTGATGGAACTGATTGCACTGTACTACAGGATTTTAGGTGGGAGAAAGGATTTTTCTGAAGAAAAAAGACATTGGAGAAATATTGAGATTGAGAAACAAAGGGGGCATGGCAGCATATGCCTATAATCCCAGCATTCTCCAGAGGCTGAGGCAGGAGGATGACAAGTTTGAGCCCAACTTGGGCAATTTAGTGATTTAGCAAGACTCTGTCTCAAAAAAGAAAAAGAAAAAAGAAAAAGACTCTGTCTCAAAAAAAAAATGGGTAGTGGTGGTTGGGATGTAGCTCAGTTCAAAGGTCCTGGGTTCAATCCACAGTAGGCCACTCCCCCCAAAAAGACTGAGAAACAGTCTGTGGCAGAGACATGCCCTTTCTTTTTCGTTTCTTTAAGAGTAAGAAAATTTATTGGGGAAAAGGAATGGGGGAACAGGAATAGCTCCCAAAAGACAGGAAGGGTCCCTTCCAAATGGATGCTAATGAGCCCACTTCTCAAAGGAACTTTTATAGAGCAAAAGCATGAGGCAGGTACAACATGGGTCAAAATTATGATTAACCAATAAGATTGCAAGTATATCCACTTAGGTAATAGTGATCCAATGGTAGCAAGGGCATATGGGTGACATCATTAACCTTGGTTGTTTTAGTAGTCTTAGTGAGTGGGAGAGAATGACCCACCCCTAATGAGATAATGGGAGTCTCTAAAGGGTGACACCACTAATCCCAAGCTTCTGTTTGTCCTTTGGGGAAGTATGTAAATGTGGTCATTTTAATCTTCTAAATGTGGATTTTAATCTTCAGACACTCTCCAGCCACAGTTTGGATGTGTTCTCATCTTCCTCACTGACCCCCTCCAGAGCCCAACCCCGTCTGACTGCCTACAATATTTCTATCTAACTTAGCTGTCTGTAATATTACCCCTTCTGAAGAGGTAGCCCTAACTGTGGTTACGGGAGAATGGGTGTAGTTTCCATCTAGCTGCTTCAAGCTGAGAAGGGTTGATGCAGGGGAAACCGCAGTCAGGGGTCTTCTCCAGGGAGCTAATCTAATGGGCCTTGGCTAGAAGTCATGTTGCAGTTTAGAAGTTCTGAATTCCCTTTATGAGGTCAGTGTAGTGGATCTCAGTAAAAGGAGTCTGGTGCCTTTGATGTTGGTTTCATCTGCATGATCACTTAGAATTTGGCATCTTCAAAGTTGTAGGATCCTGTAGAAAAGATTCCCTCATGTCCTGGGTCCTTGTTGACCTGGGAGGGCCAGGGCCAGAATATTGACTGTCCTCTTAACCCAGTTACCTCTCTGGTTTTAGTCTTTAAACTTAAGTTGTTGAACACCCAGAAGAGAAGATCAGTTACATCAATATTGCAGAGACAGCAATGAGTTTAACTGTGATAATCTCATCTAAATATCAAACACTTTGAAAATGTATAGCCAAAGGACTGTTATTTCTAACCAACCATGGTTATTTTAGTAGTTGAGTCCCCGCAGAATGTTAACAGACAACAGTTAAATAGTTGATAAAAAGCCATACATAGTATTTCAGCATGACAATCATGATGACATTATCTTTGCAACACACTTAAATGTCCACCTTAGTACAGATAGCCTTTTTAGTCAAACATCTTCATCCAATCACAAGACATTAAATAACACAAAGAAACTCTCACCTAATTTGTTATCCTTCAACAGGAGGCCATGCATGAAGAATGTACCTGTCAATAAATATACCTCAGAAGTTTATAATGTCTAGCCTTTAATTTTTACTTTGTGACATTGTTTAGACTGCTTGGTGCTTGAACATCTCTAAGTGTAGTGAGACATATATAACATACACATCACATACATTTTGAAAAAAAAAACTATCATTTGACTGGTGGTCTCATGCTGGCTTGACATGTACCTCTCATCATAAGTAGCTGAAGCCGGGTGTGGTGGCACATGCCTGTAATCCCAGCACTTGGGAGGCTGAAGCAGGAGGATCACAGTGAATTTGAGGCCAGTCTGGGCTACATAGTGAGTTTCAAGCCAGCCTGAATTACAGAATGAGACCCTGTCTCAAGAAGCAGACAAAAAGAAAGAAGACTGGAGTAAAAGCATTTCCAGGCAGCAACTGTTTTATTCACCAAGAGGAGTCATGTCTAGCAGTTTCCCTAAGCTTAAATGGTCCCTATTTAGTTACCTTAATAAAATTTTAGATGACTTATGAGAATCAGGTCATAATAATTAACACATTATTCTTGGCCAATGAAAGATTCCCGAGTTCTTGTACACAGACAACAATATGCACTGCATTTGTAAAACCAGTCATGACTTCATTTTGATCAGCTGGCAGCCTGGGTGGAAGCATGTCCTTAGCTCTAATGACATTTATCTATAAGCCAATTTAAGTTATGGACAAATATTTTAAAAATCCAAAAAGGCAAAAAGAGGAAAAAATTGTTGAGCTCAAATAAAACAGCTGTAGGTATTGTAACCAGTCACAAACTGAACAAACAGACAAACACACATAAGATAATTGTTAATAGACTAGAGTGCACTCAGATGCATTTGGCCAAGTTGAATTATAATAACTCTTTTATAGTTTTTAAGTTTGCTACTATAGACTAGTTAGAATATTTATGGGTCAATTAGCAGAGACCTCTTATAATAAGAATCAGAAGGAATAAAAACTTTTACACCTGTGAAAGCAAAGACAGTTTTCAAGATGGGGCCTAGGCTGATGATTTGTATGATTAAAATGTCCTGCTATATTGGCTTCTCATTGTTATTTTGATAGCCATTGTTGGATAGTCACAGCTGATATCCAAAACTGCTGTTTCGATAGCTACATGTAATTGTTTCCTCTGGAGGGGCAGACTATTAAAAGGTAATTTTAACTATTTCCAGGGTAAGTGTGCAGGGAAGGGTGTAGAAAGGACTAAGAGGCTCTCTGGAGCTAAATATGAATTTCAAACAGTCGGGGGAAGAAGGCCTGCTAATGCTCTAATCTGTTCTGCTGCAGATGTCCACCTAGGACAGTTTTTCCCTTTTTGCCTGTGACCTTTGCACCATACTTAGCTATAGGCCTTCCTGTTTAGAGCCTCAGTTAGAATATCTCTGAGAATAGTGGCCAGGATGGCAAGATGTTCTGGAGAGAAATCATAATGAGAGAGGCAGTGCTCTGTGGACTGGGGCTGTGCCTATTTTAAAATATTTGTTCTAGTCTAAAATAGTTATTAAGCCCATAAGTTTCCCTAGGAATGTTTTGTCTTATCAATGAACCTGTCTGTGTTATAAAACTCAGTCAGTGTGTCCAGTGCTACAAACACCAATTGGCATCATTCTTGAGGGGAAGAAGAAGAGGAGTTAATCTCAGTTTTACTTAAGGACTGAAAGGCAGATAAATTTGGACTGAAACTTTTACTTTTATTCCTTAAGAGTTTCAGGGTTAAGTCTAGACCAGTTTTTTTGGACTATGGCCCAGAGATAAGTGAAAGTTAGTTTTACTTTGGGAGAATCATAGGAAGGGGAAGGTCACCATTCTGGAAACTTGGTCCTGAAATCCAGCCATCACAAAGGAGAAAATTGCCTTGGACCAGACACTGTTGTAATCTGCATTGTTTCTCAGGGGCAGGGCAGCTGGGAAAAGACTGAAGACTTTTATAACACAGTATGGCACAAGAACTAAATCCTATCTCAGGTACAGAAAGACAGTTAAAATCAAGAGCTTTTCCAGAGTGAATCTCTAATCCTTAGCAAAACATACCTTCAAGACAAGAGCTATGATTGACTCAATCTGGATTTTCAAAGCAGAAAATGAAACTGATAACCAAAGAATCTGAATGGCTGCTTTTTAACCTTCTGAAAGAGAGTGAGGGAGAGAAAAGTGAAAGTGTTCTAACTATATTGTTTAGGGCTTTGTCTCAGTTACTTTCCTTATTGCTGAGACAAAATACCCGACACCCAAAGTTAAAGGAGGAAAGGTTTATTTAGCTCACAGTCTGTGAAAGTTTCAATTCATAACTGGCTGGCTCCAAGGCAGGTTGGTACATGGAAGAGGAGCAACAGTTCATGGTGGTGGGAGACAGCAAAAGCAATGAGAAA